ACTAAAAATAATTTTCGCTTCACTATCAAGGCCGAGTTGATTTTCAAAGTATGAAAATATACGTAAAATTCTCTCCACACCAAGCAGGGCTTAATTCCTCAGCCTTAAAATAAAATTCAAAAATTTTTAAGTCATTATACCTACCTCTTGTAACATCTATCCTGAGACACACTGTATAACAAACTCAAAACCTCATTATTTTTACTAGTGTAAAACCTTGATATAAGTTGCTCTATTCCGTGTTCATAGATAAACTCAGGATATTTCCTTACTTTATCTAGGCTAAACACGCCTAAGGTCGACCACTGCCAGTAGTCGACCATCTGCAACTATAAATTTAAAAAATAAAAGAGTAGTAAAATTTCCTCTTTTAAGACTTGCGTCAATAATTAGTTGCCAGTGTCTGTCACCCAAATTACAAGTAATTGCGTAAATAGTGATGGTAGTACTGCCCTGATTTGTCAGTTGAGAAGAATGCATACTGAGTTGAAGGTTTGAGGTAAGTAAACCTAGATTTTTACTTAGCATGACGTGTTTCATGAATAAGCATAGAAAAGTATTGTAATCGTGTTTTGAATCTGGATATAGACACAATTTTAAATAAAACAGTTTTACTATTTCTTTAAATGAAGTTGTTAAAAACATAGTACAGGGTAGGCAAACAAGGGTGTCGCCAGCCAGTGGGCCAGGGGGGGGGGACACGACAAAAAAATTTAAAAAATAACACCAAATTTATTAAAACATAATTTTCGTGGCTTCTTCGCGAATTTGTCAACCAGATTATTAATAAAACCCTCAAAGTTTTCAAAAATTTGCTTCCTATACACACTCATCATGGGAAGACCATTGAGACGACATTCTGCCATAGTGCTTCTAAGCCAGGTTTTATTATCCTCAAGCTGCTAAAAGATCGTTCAACAGTATATATCGTGCAGGGTAAAGTGACCAAAATTATAAAGGCTTTTCTCGTTTCAGGGAAAAAATTGTCGGCATCTTTTATGACATCCACAACACTTAATTCTTTTGAGTCAGGTTATGGCAAGATACCATAGTTTTTTCCATAGTTATATTTCGTTGTTGATATTTGATAAATTGTAAAATTTTGAAAAGACTTCACCCCAGCTTCTACGAGGTCTTCAAGGGACATGTCTAACATTTGAGCTGGGTGTAATTTAGATAAGGAAAATGAAGGGGTGTTTTCTTCAGAAAAGCGAACAGCAAAAGAATTAATAATCGAGTCTAAGTATGGTATTATTAAAAACCTCCGCTAGAATTCTGAAGGGCTTGCTGTTGGGTGGTTGTTCTGATGTTGTCTCTCAACAATACGGGGCAAGGACTTCATGTCTTCTCCCAGTCCAAATTTTTCTCCAACGATAGTAGCGTCCCTAATAATTCCATTTGTGACGTTTTCTGGACCGCTACGGTGGTTTTCTATAAATTCCAAAAGGCGGCTAATGTGCTGGGATGCCTTAACTGCATTCAAAGCTACGGATTGGAGACGTTTACCACAGGTTCCATCATAGCCGAGTATTTGGCTATCAAAATGAAGCTGAGAATAAACAAAACTCTAGAAGCTGCTGCATGGAGCTGATAAGTATTTTTTCTAGTCGCATTATTTATTTTCTTCCCGTGACGAGGTTTCAAAGGCCTCCATTATAATAGGAAAATTCTCATTAAAAACACTAATATTTTTGTGTTTCTCGCTCCACCTTGTTTCGCAAAGCTTGGAAATATTTGGTATCAATTTGCGTCTCAAAACTGATTCTTGAAAAAATGTAATAATATCTTTGATGGTATCTTCCTTTGATGAAAGCACAAAGCTTTTTTATATGTTCTGCGTAGGATTGCTTGTTTCCCGGACATCGTCGAACAACCGTTAAATCCTAAACCAACACATTTGTCCGGATCAAGATCTTCTTCTGCCGAAAACTCATCTATTCCTTTGGAATACATTTCGCATCCAAAGCATCAAGTTTGACGAATCCGGGGAATACTTCTTGAACTTCCTTGGTTTCCAGATCAAAATATGGCATCCCATTCGATAATATTGTTCAGTACTCGAGATGTATATTTATTGTGTTTTAATTTTTTTTCGAACATACCTCTAGGGGGGGCAGTGGCCCCCCTCTGCCCCTCTCTGGCGACGCCCTTGTAGGCAAATTTGGGTGTTATTTGTAAAAAATAATACGTGATCGCTTTTAAACGTGTCGTTATTTTTATTAAATACAGAAATAGTATCTTTTCGTAACCATAGCGTAACTAATAACTACATTTAATATTAACTACTTGATTGCTCCTAAGGGTGCGTTTACGTTGGAGCTGCGATAAACGATACTAGCAAAATAACGAAATTGTTGTCATAGTTTTATATGCAAGTGTTTATATTGGAGCGACGAATTGTCACAAGTTTGACAGCCGACTAACGATAAGAGCGACGCTAATTGTATTCCCTATTTTCTTTGCTATTATCAGGTGTGGTCGGCATGGATATCGACTGTTTAAGTAGTGAAATTTTTGTTAGATCCCCTTGTGGGACCAAAAAGATAAAAATTACCACAACAGATTTGTTCTGACAAATCGTTTTCAATTCATTTTGCGCAGCTCTTATCGCTGCTCTCATTGTTGTTCTTATCGTTTATCGCAGCTCTCGTTCCAATATAAACACCTGCATATAAAACTATGACAACAATTTCGTTGTTTTGGTAGTATCGTCGCTATTATCGTTTATCGCAGCTCCAACGTAAACACACCCTAAATCATAATCGAAACTAAACAACTTACTAGATGGCGTATGTTAATAAATGTATGTAATTTTAGCCTCCTTACATTTATAAAGCATTCACTATAAAATAAATACAACTTGAAATACTAACAATTTTGAAATTTACTTAGGTAATTAACGCTGTAGCTTACATCTGGTCTAGTCGCAGAACTTATATACTGCAGTGCCCCTATTAGATTTCTGTACATAATATTATCAGTTATCTCCTGTGCAGGCTCCAATTTTAAATTTACTTTCATTGGTGTTTTAAACAAATTTTGAGCTTTTAATTTTATATTTCTCAGCTAAAGATTTAATGTATTCCTCCTGACTAAGAGTCTGAGGAATGAGTCTGAGCTTTTAATGTATTGAATCTTTTTCTTATTTTTACAACATATTAACAGATCGTCAACAAACACTACTGAGTAAATCATATAAATCAATCATATAAAGTGTTCATCTCTTTTGTTATATAAACAATAGTCACATTTACTCCTTATAAATTTCATCTCGCATAAAAATTCATCGAAACAATTATATCACGCACGAAGACTTTCTCTCAAACCGTATAATGCTTTTTCTAGTTTACACACTCTATCAGTCCCATCCTCAAATCCTCTCGGTTGAAATACATAGATTTCTGAAAAAATCTTACCATTCAAGAAAGCTGCTACATCAATTTGTTCTATAATCAGTTTTTCCTGGCAGCAATATGATAATAATATTTTTAAGATTTGCATGCCAGCTAGTGGCGAATAAATGTCATCTACAATTTCTGATTGTTGAAAGCCTTTCACAACCAATCTGGCTTTATATACATATATTATTTGCCTTGTTTGTAAAGACCCATTTAACATCTAGACATTTTTTATTCTCTGGTTTTTTCATCAATTTCCATGTTTTATTTTTATTTCAGCTTTCCATTTCTTTATTTGTTGCTACTTTCCACTATTCTGCCTGTTGACTGTTTAACGCCTCCTCAAAGTTATTTGGATTTTCTACATTGCAAACGTTACAATAAACGTAACTATCATAATATCTTGCTGGCATTTTCTTTTCTCTCTTCGATCTTCTCAATTCTTGAGGCGTTTGTTTTTGTTTTATTGTTTTATTTTCTAATTTAATTTCTGTACTCTCATCTTGTATTTCAGAATCAGTTTCAATTTCATTACTAGAAGAATCAGTTTCAATTTCATTGTCAGTTCTGTTTGTATCTAAACCTATGCATTTAACATTCTCCTCCACAACATCAACATGTCTAGCTACAATGATTCTGTTATTTACTAAAACTTTATACTCAACTTCAGTATAACCCAGTAAAATTCCCAAATCAGCCTTTTTATCCCATTTAGACCTTCTTAACTCTTCTGGTCTTCGAACAAAAATTCTACTTCCATATAGACGTAAATATTTAATAGTAGGTTTTCTTCCAAACATTATTTCGTAAGGCGTTTTAAAAATTAAAACATACGAATATTTAATTGATTTTTATAAAGTTACTGAAAAAATATTACGGGTTATAAAAAATAAACTTACTACAGACTGAAGAAATGCCGATCGACCACTGGACTTATACGGGTCGATTCAAGGGAGGACTACTGGTCCATTAGGTCCTTTTGAACCTTTTTTAGGATAATTGTAGTTTTATTTTGTTTATTTCATTTAGCATGAATCGGTTGGAAAAGGAAATGTTTTACCTATCTTAATTTAAAAAGATCACTTTCTTGTACCTGTACTTCTATTTTTTTATTGGGTATTGAATTTGTAATATGTCTTAAGTGGTCGACCACTGGCGTGTTTATCCTATATGATGTATAAGTCAAGGCTAGTAGTTCCAGTTTTACTTGTTATTCAGTGCTAGATTGCTGTATATTTTTATTGAACTAAAAGTGAAACTAACTCTAGAACTAGAAACGTTCGGGTTTAGTCGTACGTTTCTTAAGATGGCTAAACCCGAATATTTCCAGGTCTAGTGTTAGTTTTAGTTGTTATTCAGCGCTAAATTGTTTAACCCTACAGTGAATACGTTAGGCCTGACAGGCCTATGCCTTATCTGTTTTGCTGTAACATTAAAATGACGTATTCTCTGTAGGGTTAATTGTTAAATTATTCATATAACGGACTTTTGGCTATACGGACACTTCCTTCTCCTTGTTAATCCGTTATATCGAGGTTTTACTCTGTATTAAAATAAATTAAATTTACAATGTTGAAATTATTTAATAATATTTAAATTTAGGTTATTCAAGTGGTTGGGATTTAATTATTCCGAGCGGTTGGGCTTTGCCGACGTGGTTAACCTTAGTAATGTGGGGTGCAAGAACTGGTGGTTTACGCGAATCCGAGTCCATCCAATTCGAAAAGGGGCGCCCCAACGTTTTAGAGCCAGATACAAAAGCAGGCCGAGAAGAAAACGATAGAGTAACAGAACTATATCGAAAAAAATATTCAAGTTTACCACCAAATAGACGAACAAATTACATTAAGTACGCCGTATCAAGCCCATTTCAATTCAATTGGGATATCCTTTTAAATGAATGGAATGAAACTACTACAAATGGAAACAATTTTTTTGTATTAAGAGATAAAACGTTATTAAAAATGTTAAATGTAAGTTTATTTATATTTATTTGATTTTTTATTAATAATTTTTTTTAAGGATTCATTGAATACCACTAAAATTCCTGATGTAGATTTCGCTCAATTATGTCTTGTACCGGTTAAAATAATTTTAAAGAAAGGATGCCCATCAAGGTATTCTTTAATTTGTTTACCTCACAATCAAGATCTACATAAATCAAATCAAGAAGTTAAAGAGCCCTTAAAACGGGACGAAAATCAAAGAAAAAGAATGAAATTACGAAAAGAACGTATCATTATGTTGAAAAAAATGAAAAAACTTAGGATAAAAGCGAGAAAAAACGGACAAGTTGTAAAACAAGATGTCGAAGGAATGTTAAAGCATAAAGAATTAATGGAGAAATTGTGGATACCGGATGTTGTAAATATTAGGAAATCTTGTTCAAGAGATATAATGGGATTTGTTACGAAGGGTGGATTTAGTTTTACTGTTGGTAAAACAGTTGGAATTGGATATGTTGCCTTGAATAGTTTAAAATCATTATTTTCAGTGGATAATAAATTTAAGAATAAAGTTTTAATTCGAAATACTAGTAGTAGGGAATATAAAATAGGACAACTTGAAATTGTTATATAAAAAAATTCTGGGTATTTTGTACCCATTTGATGTATATGGACAATTAGGGTTAAATATACATGAATAAATTGTTTTTGAACTGTTTATTACCCGAAATATATAAGAGCTGTAGGTTAAAATACATAAATATAACAGAAGTTTTTAGTTACTGCTGTCTCTATATATTAATGGCGTTTTAAACAACAGGAACGACATGTTTTCTACATATAAATTTATTACATTTTTCGCATTGAGTTTTAGCGTTGCGATCCGTCCCCGACCGACTGTCTTGAAATCTACTTGATGTAATCTTTGGCGTTTTGATAATATCTCTTCTTCAACCATTATTTTGGAAATATTACTTATAAACGCGTTTTTACTTCCCATGGAAGTATTACAATTATTATTTGTCGATATTGTAAATGTTGTTTTTGTAATTTGCGGGTGCATAAATAAACGGGTGCTGTAATGAGACTCCTTACAGCATCCGATGCTGTAATGAGATTTTAGTAGCATTTTATGGAACCAGTTCAAGTTGGTGACATTGGGTCATTAATTTGTCTAGTTGTCAATGTGACAATTTTTCTCTATGGGTATTTAAACACGTTCTTAGCATCGAATACAAGGTCCACAATGATGAAGACATCGAACTCTGAGCAATTTCTCTTATTTTGGGTTTTGACAGTTTCTAATTGTCAATTCAAATTTCTATTTTCAAGTGTTACGGTGTTACCAACTGCTACATACCTATCTCCCTACATTGTCAAAATTTATTTTATTTTAGTTAAAAAGAAAAGATAAAAACGCGAATTAGAAAAAAATAGCATAAAAAACACGTTTCGTAAGACTTAAAACACACATTCATTAAAAAACTCGTGCACTCGTTTTCCAATTTGAATTCGTGCATTTTAAGCGTGTCTTAAGAAACTAGTTTTTTTAATTTTTACAATTACTTAACTCCAAAGCAAGGGATTTCAGAAAATCACTCCTATACACATTTTTAATATTGATGGAATATTGTTTTTGTGTAACACTAATGCGTTTATGACTACGATGTCAGAGTATCACACAATGCATCTACAGTATCAACTCCACCTTTCGTTGAATTATAAAATAATATCACTTCCAGTTTCTTTTTTATTTTTGAATTGCTGTTAACATCCGTTGTTGCATGCATCATCATCATCGCCATTAGTCATACAGGCCTGTTACAGGTTCTGCCGTAAGTATATTTTTTGCTGGGTTATTGCCGCCAGTACTTACCACATGACCTGCCCATCTCAATCTGCCCACCTTTATAGTTGTCACTATATCCCTCTTTCCAGCTGATCCATAGGTGTTATGTATTTCAAAGTTGTACATACTTCTCCATACTCCCTGTTCGACAGTCCCCGCGTATATTCGATGCAGTATCTTTATTTCGAATGTGGCTAGCATTAATTCATCTTTTTTCATTCGGATTCACGCTTCGGAACCACATACCAAAATATAGGTACTTGGACTGGCCGAAATAGCATTTATTCGCACAAATGATGAGTTTCTTAATTTCTGCAGTAATATTGTTACCTCCATTGACTGATGTTCCTAGATTCTGAAATTCTGTGATAGCCTAAAAGTTCTGGTTACCAATTATGATGTTTTGTCCAACATCTCACGGTCTTCTATTATCCGTGACTGGCATAAACTTTGTCTTTCCCTCATTGATAACGAAACCGATCCTCCCCGCTGCAGCTTCCAGAGTCGACACAGCTTCTTTAGCTTTTCTTACTGATCTCAATATAATAACTACGTCATCAGCATACGCAAGAATCTGAATGGATTTATTGAATATTGTGCCTCTGGTGTCTAGTTCTGCATCTTTTACGACCTTTTCCAATGCTATATTAAACATGAGCACGCCAGCGCGTCATCCAGTCTTACGCCAAGTTTGATTTCAAATATGTTATTTCACTTTGTATTTTAATGTGACAAATTGGTTTTCTCAAGTATCTGCCGCAGTATGAAGATTTGGTCGACTGTGGAGCATTCCCTTCGAAATTCACGTCGATAAACCCCTATTCTGAGTTCCGCAGAAATTACTATTTTTTCAAAAACAGTCTCCGCCATCTGTTCCTCGTGCTATACTTTCGCTATGGTGTCGAAAATCGCTTTTTTCAAGAGTTTCTCCATCCTGCTTGATAAGTTCCCATCCCGAAGACATGGTTGCGAAGCTGTTTAATTGCGCTTCTTATATCATCTATATGGGATGGCTCAATATTATCTTTATTGAGGATTTCGAAGTGTACCTCCTTTTGTTCAATCTCCGCTCCTAACAGTTCCGAGAAACGCTGGACCCATCTATAGAGTATACAGAATGTTTCTGTAAGTCGTGGCATAATTTTAATCACAGAAACTAGAGTGACGATTCGTGTACATTTTTTTAGTCTAAGCCGATAAATGCCTGAGATATGGGCCTTTAAAGTTAAGAAATGTTTAAACATTTTGTTAAATTTAATATTTTCAAAATGGTTTGTCTTAGAAAGGTTAAATTTGGCAAACACTGCAATGTTATCATAAGAAATCATTTAAAAACACTTTTGAAAATATGCAATCACAGGATCGAAATGGGGTTGATACGTTCTTAAGACACTTTTTTAAGTAGAATATACTGCCGTTGAAAAATTTTAAAAATATTTGATGATTTTTGAGATACAATACAAAGTTGTATTTTTTTAAATACAAACTATACTTGATTATGATGTTAATGAAAAGAGCATATTTTTAGCTTTCCAATGATGTATCGCATGTATGGTGTATTTGCGGAAAATAAGCGTTAATTTTCAATTCCAAAATAGTAAACGCTAATGTTCAAAATTTTGATCATAGTAGGCGGGTTCGGACAGTAATTACTACCTAATTGCTATATGATTTTGCACGAATATGACAGAAAGTTGTCTTGTACCATTATGCAGGATAAAGTTGGTTTTGTACCAACGAATAAAAATTTTGAATAGTTGATTTAAATTTCTGTGTCTTATCCCTGACTTTGTTCACCAATAAAAAATGATTTGTAGATAAAGTTTGTTTATTAAAAATACAAGAAACGTATTAATTAATGTATAATTAAATGTGAAAAACAACTTCAGGAACTAAACAGTCACAGACTGTGTGATCTTCTTCTACTAAACCTACTGGTTGTAAGGTTAGAACAGTTGTGTATCAATGAATGAAATCTTCGGTAGTATCTTCCCAGTTTTCCGCAACCATGAGACTTAGAAGTTTTTTCATATTTGCAACCTTTTCTTTTGAAATTGGGTGAGATAGAGGAAGATTAGGGATCATAAACTGGGCAGCGGACTTCCCATTGAAACGATGTTAATATGGGATATGAAGCCTAATCTATCATTTTCAAAGAATCATGTTTTAATTTTATCACTTTATGTATTTAAAGATAATGAGGAATTTTTAAGCGGGAAACTCGTTTCGAAAAATTCAGGAATGAAATGATCAGTAAACTCATGTTACTATAGTAACTAAGTGGCATTCCACGTTTTTCTCGCCTACTATAATTAAAATTTTGGAAATCAGGAAAATTTGACTTTTTAGCTATAACTTAAAAACAAAAGAAGATAGAGGTTTGGTGTTTGCGGGATTGGGTTAGTCTCGAAAAACGAGCAATGGCACCTACTTTTTTCGTATCTCTTATAGTTTCTGAAATAGCCTATAATAACACACAAATTTGCCCACCCTGTACAGATGTCCCAACTTCGATGTCCGTATAGGCTATCTGCGAAACTAAAAGAGATAGAAAAAAAGTAGCTTACATGTCATGATTTCGTTTTTCGAGAAAATGCTAATACCGAAAACTACGAACAGCTATCCTCTTTTGTTTTCGCCCTATCGGCAAAAACTGAAAATTTTGCGAAAACGACAATCGCGAATATCTCACTTATTATCAAAGATGTAGTATTATAAATAAAACATTATATGGACAACTTTTTGCGAAGAATTCAGTGGCGTATGTAGATTTTTTTCCCATCTTTTATTTTCGCGATTTTAGACGTAACTTTACTTTTTTAAATGGAAACCATAGTTGGCTGTGACCTAAAATAATTTGTTATTTTCTTCTGATAACAAATATATATAGTTTATGGGATATATTTCTTATAGTTATTGAATAATTAACAAAAATTCATTTTGTTCTATCTAAAACTAATGTATGTATTTAAAAGTTAATGTTGCTGTGGTGATAACCATATATACTATGATGGAACATAATGTATCAAATAATTGCCAAAGTTTGTATTTAAAAATTCGATAACAACTCTGGCATTATGTGCTGGTACGAAGCACCAGCATGTTAAGTGTCAAAGTATAACAAAACTGAATAAAACTTTACAATTAATTTCGAAAATTATGAAAAGTGTAACATGATGGAATGCTATAATGTTATCAAATAAGAATGCGACGTGAGCTGCGGAATTATATTTCACAAAGTATCCGGAAACAAGACAACATGCAAGAACGTTCAGCCGATTAGCAGAAAATTTAAAGGATTTTTGGTCCTTCCCCAAACCACGTGCAAAAACATACCAAAATGACTGCAAGAGGATGAAGTCAATGAGTTGGCTTCAGTTGCGATAAATCCATCAACATCTTGCAGAGAAATTGAACAAGACGTCTGACCCAAAAGCCGCTGCTCGCGAATATGAAAAAAAATAAGTATAAACCATACAAAGCGGGGCTAACTCATTATTTACGTGCCGGAGATGTCAATCTGAAATTACAATTTTGTAGATGATATTTAGAAAAATTAAATAATCTGCTGTTTGGCCCGCAAAAAGTCATCTGGACCGATGAAGTCTCTGAGTATTCAAAGAAGATTCAATGTATGGTGTGCCCTTTTAGATAATAGAATTTTGGCATATAGTATCTACCATAAAAACTTAAACTCAGGTAAATACCTCAATATATTAAGGCAGCAGATTGAGCCTTTGGTCGACAATTTGCCATTAAATATGTCTCAAATGATATATTTTCAACATGACGGAGCACTAGCACATAATGCCAGAGTTGTTAAGGATTTTTTTAATACTACTACAAACTTTGGCAATA